CTATGACTCTATTTTAATGATACACTTGTTTATTAATTAAGCTCATTTTGACCTGCTAATTTTGATACCCTAATTCTAAAATAGGAAAATCTATATATATGAAATTTAGACTCATATTTACCAAATATAGCAGGAGATTTTCTTTTACAAAATATAGCATAAGTCTTTTTTCAAAACATATACGAAATCTTGTTCAAGGGTTAAAAAATTTCTCACATTTTTCGTGTATAAAAACTAAAAAAATTAAAATCAATATGAAATATGTATATTTCACTCAAAGCTTAGAATTTCGCTCACATTTCTATGGTATGAAAAATGTATACTATTGGTATGAAATATGTATATCTCACTCTAGGCTTAGAATATTGATCACAATATTTTCATGTATAAAATCGATATTATATATGTATATAATATTATACAAATTTTGTATAAAGTTCATATTAGGTTTTTAAAAAACCCATACATCGAATCTCGCTCGTGATTCATGTATAAAATATAAAATATAACCGTACAAATATCTAGTTGAAAATGAATATAACCTACAGGCTACAACAACATCATATACAGCTTTTATACAGTATTCATATAAGTTTAATATAACTACGACATACATGCAAACTTACCAAATAAGTTTCATACAAATACAAAACACAATTTACTACTTTGATACATAATACAATTTAATTGTAACTTCGAACTTCAATATGATTGAAATTAAGTCTAAAACTAACTTAAATCTTATCCAAATATCCCCAAATTTTAGATTCGAACCCTTCGATATATTTAAGTTCTTTTGAAATATCACGAGAAAATTATCAAAATGGTCCTTGATATATTAGGGTTGCTTTATTTTGGTCCTTAATATATTCTAGCTGATTGAAATAGTCCTTCATGTATAACAAAATGTGTTCAATTTAGTCTTTTACCCTAAAACTTAACAATTTACCCCCAAAAACTGTTAAATATAACGGTGGGCTCCACATAACTTACAAAATCCACAATTTTTACTATCTTTATTAGCTCAAAGAAAGAGTTTCATGAATTCTAAAACACCATTTTCTCTAACATCTAACCACACAATTACAAAATAATTATTGTAAAAAGGTTGAATAATATAATTATAGTATTTGGGAGATATGATGAACGAAATTGGTCCGTGTTTCTGATTGAACGATGATAGATCACACCTTTCTTTTTTACTCTACTGATCTCCCATTATTATTATTTTATATTTTTATGTTTTATTGCCAGAATTGTGGAAAATAGCTCAATGATTGTATGCCTTTTGGCAATATACACTAAACCGATCTTAAGCATGAGTAGATGATTTTTTTTCCCAAGTATGAGAGCTATCTGTATTTTCTGCTAATGCTTTATGATCTATTTCAAACTGTTCTATTGTGAAGTTTTTAAAAATTATTTGTCTTTTTGTTGTGATGAATTCATGAAAATTTCACATGTCAGACTTCAGAGAGAATTATTTTGTAATTGTGTGGTTAGATGTTAGAGAAAATAGTGTTTTAGAATTTATGAAACTCTTTGTTTGAGCTAATAAAGATGGTAAAAATTGTGGATTTTGTAAGTTATGTGGACCCCACCGTTATATTTAACAGTTTTTGGGAGTAAATTGTTAAGTTTAGGGTAAAAAACTAAATTGAACACATTTTGTCATACACGAAGAACTATTTCAATCACCTAGAATATATTAAGGACCAAAATAAAGCAACCCCAATACATCAAGGAGATCATTTTCTCGAAATATCACACACTCGAAACAAAATTCGTTTTAAGATAAATCAATTTTTAGAGCTGCCAAGCCCGTTCTTCTCGTGTTTAATCCAATGAAGAGTTGCTATTATGCATTTATTTGATTAAGTGAAAAATAATTCGATCTTCCAGTTCCTTAATATTCATTTGAGATATCTTTTAATGAAACTTTAAAAAAAACATGTTTTAGTTTTCTAGTTTGCTATTATATGAATAATAAAATAATGAGTAAATTTTAGGTTTAGCAAACATAAAAATTATATTTGTATGCTATAGTTATAGTTTGTATAATTGCATTCCATAGCAAATTTTATGTTTGCTATGGCTATTAATTTGTATATTTCGGTATACATATACATAAAAAATATGTATTTGGGTCTATTTGTATATTTCGGTATACAAATGGGTCCTGCATTTGTATCTTTCGGTATACAAATGTGTCTTGCATTTATATATTTTGGTCTTATTTGTATATTTCGGTATACAGATGGGTCCTACATTTGTATATTTCAGTCTATTTGTATATTTCGGTATACAAATGGGATGGCAAAAAACATGGAATGTTTGCTGCGAATTACAAATAAAAGAAACTATGGCTATAACATTTACTTTGAATTAATAGTTTGCTATTTCATACAATTTTCCCAATTATATATCATCTCGAGAATAGTTAGCTTATGAAGGAAGGATCGTCCAAGTCCATATAAGGAGACCAAATTACCATCTCTTTTCCGACATGAGAATTCTTAACATTCCCCTGCATGTCTAGATCTCATTAACTGGAGTGTGGACACTATAAAATGATATGAGCCTAACTCTGATACCATGTCAAGATGAATCTTCAGTCTAACTCAACAGAAAAATCTAGCTTATGAGAGGAGGATAATTTCTCCTCATTGTGCATTATTTTTCTTGTCTATAATAATTATTAGAATTGAAGTCCCAGAAAAAGAGAAGATAATTACTCTTTAATTTTTACTTGAGAATATAAATCAAACAATTTATGGAACGTAATGACTTCACCTTAATTTGTGAAAGTTGTTATTAATTATCATCCTATGAATGTCGATAGCCATCAATGTTCTGTTATAAATTCCAACAAATAATAATAGGAAGGGTTTAGATTAATCATCTAAATTCCTAATCATCATAGTTAGTTGAAGAGAAGTGTACTCAATGAAATTTACTAATCTTTAGCTACAATATAATTTATGAATAGTTAATAAGTACATATACTGTTAATTACCACAAAAATAGAGATACAATTTGTAAAATAGCACAGAAAAGTGGAAGGAATGAACTTTTGTCGATATGGTGAAGTCACGGCTATCACTTTCCATGGTCCTTTTTGATTAATCTAATAGGATAAATAATTGGTGATAATTCAGATAAAAAACTCAAACACTTAATAATTCAGATATAAAACACTGAAAATCTAGATACTTTAAATATATTTTTAACTCATCAATCTTTTTTTAATCTTTTGAACAATTGTTTTGGTGATTCTGGAGCATTGGAGAGATTTTTGGGGAGTAAAGTTTGAAAATCTTTGGAGGGGTTGTTACTAGATTTGAAATTTTTGGGTTCCCTTGAAAATTCTTTTGGACAAAAGAATTTTACAACTTGTTTGGATGGTTATTAGCTGTTACGTTTAGTAATATATTATTGTTATTAGTTTAATTATCATATTTATTTTAATTATTATTTAAATTTATAATATTGTATTGTTAAATTCAATGTTATCTAAAATGCAGAAAATACCATTTTAAATAACGATCGATTTGATATGATCTCGTCGTTACATTTTTATTTTTTAAAATCTTTTTTATTATGTAATAATCATGTTTTATTTATCTTTCTATAATAGTATTTCTACTCGGTGTGCCTTATTTATCTGATAGGTTCATCCTTTAAATTATTGATATTTTAAAATATACTATATAAACAATACAATGTATTCAAATATTATTTTTATCAAAATAATTCAATATTATAAAATACGATTTGATATTATAAAATACATTCCGGATCCAAGTGATAGTACCAAATTATCAATCATTCAAAGGGGAAATACAATCGTGGTTTAAATAGTTTTTTAAATAACTTGTCCACTGATTTGATATGCATGTAGGACAATCAGTTTTTTTTATACAAATTTAATATTTTTGATATATATATATATATCTTATGATAGAGTTCCAAATGCATTAGCCTAAGAGGTTGTACATTTTACGAGGTGGATGCATGTGAACGTATTATTAACAAACATTCGTCAAAATTTCATCACGTTTAACGCCAGACATAGCAAGAATCTTGCAGAAGATAGCAATAATTTATTTACACCAAAATTTTAAAAAATTAAAAGTGACAGAAAAAAAAAGATTAGCATATCTCTGAAACAAATTAAATAAATAGATTTGCAGACATGTCGTAATTAAAGTAAAAAATAAAAGTTTTCTTCATGTTAGATGCAACAATTAATTAGGACTTTGGCAAATAATCTCATAATAAAGACTTAAACAGACTCATAATCAATTAACTGATCAGCTCATAGATTAGGTGAACTTAAACATATATTAAATCAGTTAGAGAAGTAGTTTCATGATTTGTTAGAGAAAAGTCAAATAAAATCAACTAAATCACAGCTATTATATTGCTCATTGTTCATAGTGCTACTAGTTTTTGTCCTGCTTCTGTTTTGCTTAATTTAATATTTATCCCCTGTTTGTTTGTTTGTTTATTTGAGTAATAGCTTTCTTTTCGCAAAAAGCAGAAGCAAAATCAGAATTTTAGTTTTATAGATTTTGAATTTTAGAATAAAATTTTTTAGTGCTTTCTCTGTCTCAAAATAAGTGTTGTTTTAACAAAAATTACGTCTATTTAAAAATCAATAAATACAATGTGTTGTTTACTTAATTACCTTATTTAATAAATGTCTTTTAAAAATTGAATACTATTAAGAATATGCAGTATAATTATTAGAAAAAAACATATTAGGTTTTGTCTTGAATTCCTAAAGTGACACCTATTTTGTAACAGAAGAAGTATATAAAATAAATTTTCTATTGTTAGGCAAAGTTATTGAATTCTATCGAATCTGATGTAGCTCCTCTTGGCAAAAAGGGGCAAGTATAGTTACCCACTCAAATATCTTTCAAATTCAACAACTTCAGTTCCCTTGTGCTGCTTTCTCCTTAGTATTATAAGTACCTATAGACTTACTTATAAGAAGATAAATCAAAGAGGCTATTTGAGAGAAGAATATGGCAGAAAAAGTAGTGCATAAATCATGGATAATTCAATATAATTTGCATTCTATTTTAGGATTCTTCCTCTTGTTCTTTCTTTCTGTGTCTTTTTATCTTATAGGAGATAATAGTGATGGTGTTAGTTTTCTAGCAAATAAATCTACAAGGAAAAATTCATCTCCAAAATGTGATTTGTTTTCTGGAAGTTGGATTTTTGATAATGTGTCATATCCTTTGTACAAAGAACAACAATGTTCTTTCATGCCTGATGATTTTGCTTGTCACAAATTTGGAAGAAAAGACTCAAAATATCATTATTGGAGATGGCAACCTTATCATTGTGATCTTCCAAGGTACCATACTCAAAAAATTCTCTTTGATTTCCTCTTTTTTGTTTTGTCAAGGTAAGGGTAAGTCTGTGTACACTCTACCCTCCCCAGATTCCAATCGTGGGACTATACAGAGTATGTTGTTGTCGTTTGTTGAATTTAATTTTTAAATATGTGTGTTGTAAGAGTGTAGGTTTAATGCCAAGGGATTGTTGGAGAAGCTAAAAGGGAAGAGGGTGTTGTTTGTTGGGGATTCATTGAACAAGAATCAATGGGCTTCTATGGTATGCTTAATTGAATCCTCTGGAATTCCATCTCTCAACCCACCTATATGGAAAGGCAACTTAATCACCTTTGAGGTCAAGGTAATTACACTATAGTTTTTTCGTTTGCTCGAATTTGAATCATAGTCTCTCATGATTTTGATCTCACTTTATTTACCGCTAGGCCATCCCTTGGACTCACAAAGCAATTAGCCTTTTCATCAAACCTTACTATATTTTGTTTGATTTGGTTTATTAAAATGGTATTATACATGAAAATGGTGCACTTTGAAAGAAGACAAACCAAATCCACAAAATTTGTCAACATCACTAATTCAAATGGCAAATAATGTATTCCTTTGTATGTGTCTGTTATTAGAGTTTGTCAGAGATGCCTAAAATTGCATGATTGTTAGGTGGTTAATCAATTCAAATAAGATAAAATATTATTCCCAAAAGAAAATTCTTGGAATTTGTTGTATAAAGTAAAAACCAAGAAAGTGACATTTATGATGTGACAATAAGAGGTAAATCATGAGAACTAACATGGGCTGTGGTGCAGTGGTGGGACTGATCCACCCTTAACCAGAGATCTCGAGTTCGAGTCCCTATGGAGAAAATCCTGTGGGAGCACATAAATTGGGTCGGAGAGAGTAGTTAATATCAACTAGTTAAGACTTTCTTCTTTCAAGAGAAGTATTGCTTCTATTGTGTGGCTAAAGTTTTTCATTTTCTAATATGATAAAAGGAATACAATGCAACAATTGATTTCTACTGGTCACCATTGCTAGTAGAATCCAATTGTGATGATCCAGTGAAGCATCGTGTCCGCGATCGAATTATCAGAGTTGAGGCCATTGAAAAACATGCTAGGCATTGGATTGATGCAGATATTCTCATCTTTGATTCCTTCACTTGGTGGCTTGAATCCCATATGACACTTCAGTAAGTTTGTTTTTCACACCAAAATATATTCCTTTAGAATTCACATTTTACACAATCATTTCATATTTGGAATTAAGTTATACACACTGACAGTATAAAGATCTCATAGTTATAAGTAACATGATGATTATTGTCTCATAGTTCCATGCCAACTTTACACAGATGGGGATCATTTAACAGCTCTGATGCAATATACAAGAAGGTTGAAATGAAGCTACGACGTTATGAGATGGCCTTAAGAACATGGTCAGATTGGTTGGAGTTTCAAATTGAAAGAAAAAGGACTAAATTGTTCTTCATGAGCCTCTCGTCTTCTCACAAAAAGTACGGTAACAACTATATTGTTTGTCCGTTCTAGTACAAACAACGAAAGATTAATCCTTTTTGTTGTTACATGCAGTGGTACAGATTGGGGCAGGGGAAATGATCAAAATTGCTATGGCGAAACAGAACCAATATCAAGAAGAGAGTATTGGGGGAGTGAAAGTGATAGAAAGATGATGGAAATAGCAGAGGAGTCTGTAAATGGGCTGAAGAGAAAGGGATTAGACATACAATATCTCAACATAACACAACTCTCCGAGTATAGAAAAGACGGACACCCATCCGTTTACAAGAGGAATTGGGTTGCTCCAACAAAAGAACAACTGTTAAATCCAAGGAAAAATTCAGATTGTGTACATTGGTGCCTTCCTGGTGTGCCTGATGTTTGGAATCAGATTCTTTATGCCTATATCATGGATTCGTCAAGAGAATTAAACGAATAGAGATTATTTTTTTTCTATATGAAAAAAAATAATACTATAATTGTAATGATATATGTTATTTTTTGTGCATAGAAGTCTTGAAATGTATGAAGTAGTTCAACAAGGTTTACATTAATTGTTATACACATTGAGAAGCAGTTGATGTTTCAACAAAAGCAGGTGAAGTTGAAAGAAGGAGTCATTACAAGATAGTTAAAAAAAGATTTGATAAAGAAGAAGGATTCACTATCTCATTAGTTCCATCACCTTTTTAGATGGAGCTCAGAAGAAAATGGAGTTTGTAAAAAATAGATGGATTAAAAGGCATGGAACTGGCCATGGACGCATGGGGAAATTGGATAGAATCCAATGTGAATGTAATGAAGAAGCAAGTCTTTTTCCTCAAACATTTATCATTATGTTAACAAGGAAATGGCGGTAAGGAATGTTAGTTAACGAATTGATCCATTACAGAAACAAGACTTCATATTTTTCCAATGTACAACCAAGACTGCTGTTAAGTTTCCAGTTCATTTGAAACAAGAAATTTTCAGTGCAGTTTCTTTTTTAATTTAGTGAACTTCCATTTTTTTTATACAGCATGGTTCTGGCAAATAATAATCACTTCCTTGCCTTGTGCATGATATGAATTATATGAAACAATGAGGATAACGAAACATGCACAATTTCGATCATAGAAATCAGCAAATCGTGCAAGTTACACGGATTGCATACCTGATGAATGGAATGAGTTCATCTTTCAATTTTTGTGACACAGAGCTATATATCAGGACAGTGGCAAAGAATATATAATAATGCACTCACTGTGATTTGCTATCTCAAAGTTAGTATAAATACAAAATTTTCAATTGGAGATATATAGTACAATTCGAAGACTGTGAGTGTGATGTGACAGGACACTTTGTAACTAATCCTTCAACACTATCCTTGGAGAACATGAAAGTTTATGCTAATTAGAACAAAGTTCCATCTTAAAACCAAGTGATTTTTGTTGTTCATATATATATAATCAAGAAATTATTGAAGGTCGTGATTGTAACCACTAACCAATATCAAAATACATAGTATATAATATTGCTTTATGAAAACTTGGACAATCTAAGCACAATGAGAAAGGCCTTGAAAGATGAAAAAAATACAGAAACTACATACAGTCTTTAGCTGCAAAATATATGATTATATTACTCTTGGAAAGGAGTTTGCTTAAAATCCTTCAGAAAATCAAACCTACCAAACTTGAATTTTCTTGTCTTACATGTTTGAATCGAGCAATCTTTAAAAGATCGAGTTCAAACTAATAGCAGGAATTGAGCAAATGAGAAAAATGACCAAATTCAAGCAACCGTCTTAACATAATTTGTTGGAGTCACTCAGCAGTTGCAAGTTCATGAGCTAATACAATTGCGAAGTTTAAAAAATAGTGCTGACTTGTAGTCTCAAACATAAACTTAGTAGATGATGCATAACTTTGCTAACGAGAGGATTTTGAGTTTTCATTTGTTCACTTACAAGAAATAACATGGTCACAGATGAATATGATCGTGACAATTAAACAATCTTCGATCTTAAAATTTAGGAAAAATATAAAATACAACATAGTGATCACAAATTTAGGTTAGAATAATCATACATTGATTTGATAGATTCAGTTTGAAGTCATTCGATATAGATATGTATATCATATTTGACATATTGCTTCTTTAATCTCAAGTACACATTAGATAGATAAACTATATATTCAAATAAAAATTATACTATATTTCCTTTGTCCTAAATAACTATTTTTGCTATGACAAAAATAGTTAAGAAGAGAGTGATAGAGTCAAATTGACGTCAAACACTTCAGCAGATGACGTCAACGAGCCTTCTGGCCTACCTTTCTCGGATTCCACCTTGTTCATCTCAACCTCACACTTACAATAATACTCTCCATCTTTGAGTTGATCTTCACATTTACAGTAGTCTCCATCTTTAGTTTGATCTTCCATAGAAACTTGAGCGGAGTCTACATCAATCAATCTTGGCAGGTCTTTCACTGGATCCTATGAGGTTTTAAATAATATAGAGTCGTCAAGATATTCTAACACAAAATAAGTCTCATATAACAAATGATGAAACATGCTAGTGTTAAAGCTAGTCACTGCCTAAGGAAGGTAAATATGGTTGCATATCATCTGGTAAAATTGGCAAACTATAGTTGGAATAGCCAAGTTTTCAACTCTTTTCAGTATTTGTCCAATGGTGAAATAGCTCTTATAAACTGGACACAAGCCAACTGTCATCCATTAAACTCAGATCCGACAAGAGAAACTTCTTTATTAGCATGTAAAAATGCACTCAGAAGCTTACAAACATGTTTGAGAAACCAAAAAATGTCAATCGTTCTAACATGATTTCTCTTTTGGAAAAGGTAAAAATAAAATCATGATAAATCATTTTGACACCAAAAAAGTGAGTAGTACCAAATGTTTTCATTTTTAAATTAGGCAAAACATTGATGAACAAAGTGAAGAAACCATAGCAGCAGAGTGTTCATCCTCACCTTCCCGTTAATGGTGCCATCTTCTTCAACGTGCCATCCAGCTTCCTTACATAGAGCCATGAGAAGATCATTGGTGTCTGCATGCTTTGGAAGTTTGTAGTTTCCATGAGCTCGTAGTCCAGCAAAGATTTTGTGTGCTACTCTTCGGCGATTTTTCTCCCTTTGCTTATTTTTCTGTCGCTCTCTGTCAGATGGATAACGGAACCTAGTCACAACACTGCCATCTTTGGCGGTTCTGTGAACCAACCACGGCCCTCTGCTAGTTTTTATGCATCCTCTAACACCACTAGTTTTCTTATCTTCCACCATAGTTATGAGTTATGCTTCCACTTTTAGTTTGTTCAATTTTTTTTGGTTATTTTCTATAGTTCTAGCTAGAGTAGTTATTTATAGTAGAAAATAGACAGCATATAGACAAATTAGGAGTACAACAAAGTGGACAGAATATATTCCTCCAGTTTGGTGTGAGTACTATGTTAAGTACTTAATTCCTTTTTTTTTTTATTTCAAAATATTTTATACAAAACATTAATGTATGAGCAAATGAGATAATATTACTTTGGTGAGTTTATTTAGTTAGTCTGAGAGTTCTCAGGACATTGACAAGTGTCCAATATTATACATGTACAATTATTGTTTCTGGTCGAAAGTACTACAAATCATAATAATTAATAATTAAGATATTTAAAAAGACATGAAAACATTATTACAGCCAAAGATAAGCTCATTTAAAACTCAAAAATGGGGAAGTGTTTTATAAATTGGGATTAAAAGAATAATTAGGTATGATAGAGTACTACAAGTCATAATATTAATTAATAACTCAATATATTTAAAAGACATACAATCAAAGATCAGTTCATTTGAATCTTGAAAAATTAAAAAGTATCATATAAATCAGAACGGGAGGAATAATTAGTTAAGGTAGAATATTTTCTTAATAGTAAAGCTAGTGGAGACAGTAAAACCAAATACTTGTATATATAATTGGATAAAAAAACAAAAAAAAAGCATGGAAAATTGGCAGTGGAGATATTGCATGCAGATTTATGCTTTTTCAGCCTCTTTTTTCACTTGGTGTCTGGTATTCAAATTGAAATCGACTAAATTTGAGTTTGCGTAGAGAAATCCCACATTTAGGGACAGAGCGATTTCTAATAAATTCAAGTCGACTTCATATTCGGGGGACTCGAATCTGAGATCCCTCGTCAAAGATAAAGGAGTACTTACTACTATATCGCAACCCTTGTTGGCACTTTTTCAGTCATATATATTCGTTGTTGTCTAGACATTAATTCAGGTGAAAGTACAATATTTTTTCTGAAATTTTGATCTTCTGTTCCATTTTGTCCAAATGGTCACATATATATGGGGAATCAAAGAATAAATATAGTACACTATACAGCCTTCTTTTTGTCTTCTGATTTCCCAGACAAAAAGTAATCTCTTTTAATCATAAAACTACAAGTTTGGATCTTTATATACAACAGTAGTACATATTTTGAAATGTTATAAAAAATAAGCTTTTTACTTTATCTTTGTTTGTTTACAATCAATTCATGTAACAAGCCCAATTGAGTTATGTGACAACTCGATCAATCACATTTTTTCTACAGCAAGTCTAGCTGAGTATATTAATATTCGTACTCTTTTTCTGGTATTGGGGTCTCGACTAATTCGGGTGAGGTCCATTAGGCATAGAAAGCACACCTATCAAGATTTGTTTCATACTTCTAGAGACCTCTAAGTAAGTATGAAAAAGATCGTATTTTTCCACCATGACCCACGATGGTAGTACAATTCCTAGTCAATAATAATTGAACTAGTGTCTAAGTACTCTTATTAACATAAAAAAAAATGTGTATATGTGGTAGATGTTGTATTTCTTTTGACTTTTTCATATATCGAACTCGCTTCGAGAAAATTCTGACCATCAGTGTTTATAAATAGTAATAATAATGATGAAGAATACGATGAGATCAAATAATTCAAATAGAATATGTATGTTAATACTAATTAAGTTTGAATGCAAAGCAAAATCTAATAGACGGAGGCAGTAATATCCCCACAACCGCCCCCGTCAGTGGCGTAGCTATATATAGCTCAGACTGGTTAATCCATCTTTTTTCAAAAATTATACTATATAGAAAATTGTACAAAGTATATAGGTTTAAAAATATTAATTTTTCATACGTATATATTAAATGTTGAACATCTTTAATAAAAATTTAAACTTCACCACTACACCTCGCCCCATTTTGTCACCCCTAAGCGGAGGCAGTAATAGCCCCGGCTGCCCTGCAACCGCCCCGCCCCATTTGTCACCTAGACGGAGGCAGGAATATTCCAAATAATTCCCTAAAATCTCTTTTTAATAGTCAGAAAAGAAGTAAGAATTATTTGAAATTGAAGGATGTGGTTAAATAAAATGATTAAAATATAATTCTAAATATTTCCTTTTCAATATATATTCCAATGTTGCTTTTGGAGATTTGCTCTTTTGACTAGTATGAAAAGCTATAAAAAAGCTAAGAAAAAAAAAGGTTCTGAATTCTGAAAAAAGAATGGTGAGAAAATAAGT